AAGGGCACAATTAATGGGTTTTAGTATATTCACAGACTTGTACAACCATCACTACTATCTAGTTCCAGAACATTCTATCACCCCAAAAGAAATCCTGTACTCATTAGCAGTCACTCCCCATCTGTCCTTTCTCCAGCCCCTGGCAAACACTGATCTACTTTCTTCCTCTGTACATTAGCCTATAATGGAAATTTCACATAAATGGAATCATACAATATGTAGCCTTTTGTGTCTGGCTTCTTTCAGTTATCATAATGCTTTCAAGGGTCATCCATGTTGTAGCATGTACTTCATTCCTTTTTATCGCCAGATAATATGTTATTAATGGAAATTTCACATAAATGGAATCATACAATATGTAGCCTTTTGTGTCTGGCTTCTTTCAGTTATCATAATGCTTCCAAGGGTCATCCATGTTGTAGCATGTACTTCATTCCTTTTTATCGCCAGATAATATGTTATTGTACTGATATGTCACATTTTGTTTATTTGTTTGGAAATATCTGGATTGTTTCTACTTTTTGGCTTTCAGGAATAATGCTGCTCTGAACATTTGTGTACAAGCTTTTGTGTGGACATATGTTTTCATTTCTCTAGGAGTGGAATTGCTGGGCCATATGATAATTTTATGTTTAACATTTTGAGGATATGCCAGACTGTTTTCCAAAGCAGGAGAATCATTTTAAAATTCTACTAGCAATGTCTTGGAGTTCCACATCCTCACCAACATTTGTTATTATCTGCCTTTTTAATTATAGCCATACCAGTGGGTATAAAGTGGTATTTCACTGACATTTTGATTTGAATTTCCCTAATGATGACAGTGTTGAACATCTTTTGACCAACTGTGTATCTTCCTTGGAGAAATATTTATTCACATCCTTTGCCCACTTTTTAATTGAGTTGTCTTTTTATGAGTTGTAATTTTTGTACATATATTCTATATACAAGACCTTTATTTGATGATTTGCAAATATTTTCTCCCATCCTGTGACTTGTCTTTTCCCTTTCTTGATGGTATCCTTTAATGCACAGATGTTTCTAAATTTGGTGAAGTCCAATCCATATAGGTTTTTTCTTTGAATGATTATACTTTGGTGTCCTAAGAAACCATTGCCTACTCTAAGGTCACAGAGATTTACTCCTATGTTTTCTTCTAAGAGTTTTACACTTTTCACTCTTACATTAAGGTCTTTGATCCATTTTGAGTTCGTTTTTATGTTTAGTGTAAGGTAGTCATCCAACTTCATTCTTCTGCATGTGGATATCCAGGTATCAGCCACTAGTTATTGAGTTCTCAATGTTCAGCCTCTTTTCATGAGCATTGGCCAATTGTATATCTTCCTTGAAGAAATATTTATTCAAATCCCCTGCCCACTTTTTAACTGAATTGTCTCTGTACGACTTGTAAGATTTTGAATTGTATTGCCCTAATGTGCCAGGTGCTAGATTCTGGGGAAACAAAGATAAATAGGACATAGCTGTTGCCCCTCGGGGAGCTTACCCTCACAGTGGGGGGAATCACATATAAGTAGAAGACAACAACATGGTGAAATAATGTGTGTAGGATGCCTGGCACTGTGCCTGGCCCCTGGAGTGTGTATAGCAAATGGTACCTTCAATAATAATGATGATGATGATGATGATGATGTTAGTAGTAGTAGTAGTAGCTATTATTATTGTTATAAATGCCAATAGAGAAGTATATACAAAGTGTTGTGACAGGAGGGATTGACTAACTTTTCTGTGTCTCAAGGTTGGCTTCACTCAGGGCTAGCCCCAACACCTCTGGGACCCAGGAAGAGGAGGGGTGCACGGGTAGGTCTCTGAAAGGCCAAACTTCTTGATAAAAGGAAGGACCTCAGGTATATGTGTCATGGGCACACCTGGTTTTCTTGCCCCTGTGAGTGTCTGCTCAGAACAGGGTTATGTGATTGCCGTTCCCTTTCCCAGTCTGTATCTTAGAAAGAATGGCTTCCTTAATTTGTAGATCTCTACTGGCCTTGGAGGGAATTGTAAAGGCTGATTATAAATTGTAAAATGTTTCTGAATGGATTACATAGGTACATTGTCTTGAATATTCTATAATTAGAACTTAAAATCTCTATTCCCTGTTGATAACATAGTGTCTTCTCAAACTTACCTATTAAAATACAGAGCAATGGTGTCTTTTTAATATGGAAAATATTCTACTCTGCAAAATATCAAAAACTATGAACCCATGTAATTCCATCATACGTACTAATTATCTTAGTGGTAGGAAGTATGTCTGTATTATATGTGTTGTAGGCTCCACATTACCAAAAAAATCCAATTATAGAAAACAATTTTAAGAAATCATTTTTCCATTATATCCCTCATTTGTTTTGTCATCTGCTAGCACATGTTAGCGGAAAAGTGAGAACAGGCACCATAAGTTTAAGAAAAATGTGTCAGAAATGAAAAACTTTAAATTGAGCACATTGTAACAATTAGCATAATCTAATTCAAGCTACAAAATACTTCAGTCCAGTTGGGTAGGATACAGTTGTTTTCAAGAAGGATAATTTTGGAACTGCTGATGCAGAGTTTAAAATTTAATTTAAACACCGGATATTTTATTTAAAAATAAAGATTTTAGTATATGGCTCTGATATCATCTGTTGTATGAACTATGAATTTTTATTGTCTTCTGCGTAGTTCAGTTCATCAGGCACTTATTGGCTGTCTGATATATGGAGAGAGCCCTGTTTAAGTGCATAATCCTTTGTCCTGAAGGAGTTAATGATCTGAGAAGGAAGCGCTGTCTAGTGCAGGACACGTGCATTACCAGCTACAAGAAGCAGGAAATTGTGATAAATGCTCTAATGGAGTTATTAAAAGCTTAGGAGCCCAAGGCCAGGAGAGGTTGGTTCAGATTCAGAATGGGTCAGATCTGGGAGAGCTTTCTTGAGGAGCCAGCTCCTGGGCTGGAACTTGAAGGGCCAGCAGAGGTGGTGGAGGGGGGAGAAACAGTGTGAGTAAAGACTTAGAAAGTTTACATGGAGGAAATTGAGGACGTGGAGATAACCTGGTACATGTGGAGTATGGAATGATTCGGAATGTAGCAGTTAGAAAGATAGGGAAGCGCCACATTGTGCAGTCTTGATAATACCAAGTCTGAATGAATCTTGACTTGATTCTGTAAGCACTAGGGAGCCATGGAGGGTTTTTGAGCAGGGCTGTGGCATGGTCAGACCAGTATAGAAGTAGGTCAAAGGTTAGGTTGAAGGTGGGGAAGACATTAGAGACCATTCTTGGGTGATAAAAATGCCATCTTCCCAATTTCACTTCAGTTAAAAATCTGAAAGGGTAGCTGTCTTGTGATTTCAGGTATTTGATACAGAAGTTCATGTGTTTACATTTTACTGGTTAATTATGCCTCCAGCAAACTGCATTCTCCTCTTCTCTGATATTTTTAGCAATGGCCAAGCAAAAGCTTATAAAGGACAGCACTGATAAAGCCTATTGTTTTTGGCAAGAATAACATGAGTCAGTACCCCAGATTTTCTCCTTAAATGTCTCTTAGCCAAGGAAAAGAACCACCCAGATTTGCATTTTAGATACAGGACCAGGAAATGGGTCTATACAGCAGAAGAAAACAAACTGACATGAAGCAGGACTGTTAGATAAGACTTCAGACCCTAGGTTAGGACTGAACCCAGTTACCTGGATTTGTAATCCAGCTCTGCCACTTACAGGCTGTGCAACTTTAGGAATGTTACTTAACCAGTCTGTGCCTCAGTTCTTTCATCTGTGAAATGGGAATGATAGTACTCACCTCAGGGTTTGTTGTGAGGATCAAATTAATTGATACATGTGAAGTACCCCGCATGGTGCGTGGCATGTAGTAAGAGCTCAACGAATGTGAACTATTATTACTCAGTCATTAGGCAATAAAAATGAAATATTTGCCTATGACACATTACAGTTTACAAAGTCTTTTTACACACCAACTAGGTCATTTGAGCTCCACACTCATTTTATGCGTACTGGTTGTTCTAGTTACCATCGTTGCTAACAAACCACCCTAAAACTTAGAGGCATAAAACAACTGTTTTATTATGCTCACAGATTCTGTGAGTCATGAGTTCCAAAAAGGTTCAGCAGGAATGGCTAATATCTGGTTCGTGGTGTCTGGGGCCACAGCCAGAGATGACTTGAAAGAACTGGGAGGGAAAAGATGGGGCTGGATCAGCTGAGACTGGCAGATTCACTTCCAAGGTGGCCTCTTCGCTAACTCACTTTGATGTGATGGCTGGAAGGCTGGGCTCAGCTGGGACTGTCACTTAAGCATGGCCTCTCCACCATGGTGGCCTCAGGGTAGCCATCAGACTTCTTACAGTGTTGCTGCAGCAGAAGCTGCATGCCTTTTATGACATAGCCTCAGAAGTCCCTTAAGGGACACTTCCCATACCCTATTGGTTGAAACAGTCACATGCCCACTCAGATTCAAGGGAAGGGATATAGACCACACCTCTCCATGGGACACATATCAAAGAATTTGGGGGCCATATTTTAAAATCAGCACACTGGTATTATTCCCTAATTCTAGACGAGAGATTGCTACTCAGCTGAGGTTAAATGATTTGCCCAGGGATAGTAACTGAGATAGTGGGCTGGGAGGTTTAGGGGAGAAGAATGACTTCTAACTTAATTCTTCTGACTCTAAATTCTTGCTCTTTCAATTGGATTATTCAACCTCCTTCAGCTAATATATACTTGCTAATATGTGAAAGTTAAAAGAAAAAAAATTTAACTGGCATTGGGTATATTAGGTAACTTCACTAAAAAGAAACAGTGCTGTAAAACTCTAATGTTTGCATTTATAAAAGCTCACACACAAACTTCATATTTTAAGGAGGTCCTGAGATTAGTTCAGTCCTGAGATTGGTCAGACGGCAACTTTGTATCATTTTCTCACAAGGAAAGATCTCTGAAAATGTCCCAGATACTGAACTATGATTTCATTTGTTCTCTAGGAAAATCTCACCTGGCCATCGTCCAGCGGGTGAATAATGAGGGAGAAGGGGACCCCTTCTATGAGGTGATGGGCATTGTCACGCTGGAAGACATCATAGAGGAGATCATCAAATCGGAGATCCTGGACGAAACTGACCTCTACAGTAAGTGCACGGCCTTGCTGTCATCTAAGGACATCTTATTTTCCTCTGAGACCCTCTAGTGCGGCCTAGTTTGGTATACAGTATAAAAGGGTGTTGAGGCAAGCCCTGTGCTCTGACATGTCAGCCACCTATGCCAGGTGCCAGCACTGCAAGTGGTTCCCTGGCTCGAATCGCCCCTGAGCCATGGGAACGCACTAGCTAAGTGTTTATCAGGAGAGAACCTTCAGGAACTGAGTCAAGACTATGAAAAGGAGAGCTCCCAGCCTTTGGATGGAAAAGGGACTAAAGGAAACAAGTGTACCCAGGACGGTGCCCAGAGGCCTTCATCTCCAGAGGCCCCTGTTTCTGACCCCTGAGTTGTTCCTGTTTGGTCTCGTCATCCACCTAGACGCAGACCCCAGCACCCCCTGGAGTTCCACTCACAGTTCACTCGCACAGGAACATCAGTGAGTGGTGGCGACTGTCGTGAGATTACCTGCCCCTCAACTAGCTGAAAATGTCCACATCCCTTCTTAGACGCTGCTCTTCTACCTGATGCCTTTCAGTCCCACCCCCCTGGGGGAACATCAGTGAGTGGTGGAGACTGTCGTGAGATTACCTGCCCCTCAACTAGCTGAAAGTGTCCACATCCCTTCTTAGACGCTGCTCTTCTACCTGATGCCTTTCAGTCCCACCCCCCTGGGTTTCCCCCTCCTCCCAGGACAAAGCACCTGTCTGCTCCTGTCTCTGCTCCCTTCCTTCTGGTCTCCTTACCCTCCTACCCACTCCCCCTCAGGAACAATATGGTCTCCTCTCTGCAGACAGTGACTGCTTTGGGTTACTGAGCCTTATCAGAGCCTTACTTGCAACCATCACAAAGGCGGCTTTGTCTCTGGGATGAGAGTGTTATCTAAATCCATGGGAGGCCCTAAGCCAGGAAGTGTTTCCTCCTTAGAATTTCATCTCCTAGGATAGCCATCCCTTTCCCTCCCCTCATATAACTCATTTCAGACCTCTGTCCTCAGTTTGTGAGAAGCAGCCTTACAGAAACTGGCTCCTGGTAGAAAAAGCTTTGACACTGTAAGGCAGACAGCAGTGCAGAAAGAGTGTCTTCCCTTTGGACTAAGAAGAAATCAAATCTAAAAGGTGCCAGCCTTGATGGAAACTAGCAGGAGCGTCCCAGCACCTCCCTCCAGGAACCTGGTGTTGCTGTGCTGCCCCAGCCAGGCTGTCTTCTTCAAACAGGGATTAAGCTCAGAATGGCTCTCCCTTCCCGTTCCACGCTCCCTTCTCCACCTCTACCCATGCCATGCTCTTGCTTCAGAATTCCTAGATGTCTCAGTAGGTAAATTGGTGAAGACATTCACACTAAGGTATTAGGGGCTGAGAATAGCCTAAATGAGTATGCTCCTCCCAGGGCATTTGTTTGTACATTAATGCTGCAAACACCCACTATGAAAATCCAAGGCATGAAAGGGAGATCAGAAGAATGATTTTTTAATGACGAAATGAGAAGTGGCATTCTGATGGGGGAGTGGAAGGGGGTACTTAGGCAAACGTGTTGTGCAAAATCAGAAGATTGTCCACTAGTGAGAGCAAAAGAACTGGGTCCTCTACCCGTATTTGCTACTCTTATGCTGAGTGATCCTCTTTCTACTGGAGAGGGTTTGGGTTTTCCATCCCTATAAATAATCTTCTGGCATGATTCCTTAAGAGCCGTGAAAAGGAGCTGGGAATACTGGGTTTCTTCTTACATGACCCTGACTTCCTACATGATCTGGACACCTGAGTTTGGATCTCCCCACTGTTGCGACCTGAGCAAAAGGAACTTTAGAGCAGGGGCCAGATGACTGCAAAGACTCAGAGTCAAAGGCAGCCCACAAAAGAGCTGCACAGGTGACAGGGCACTTTCTCCCTTCCTGCAGAAAACCCAAAGGGTCTGGCAGAAGCAACTCCCTAAAGGAGAGGGAGCGTCCAAGGGAGCCAGATTCTGGAGCCTTATTTTCCCGCCACAGGGATTCATTCCCCTCCATTTCCACTGTACCACTCAGCCTGCACTAGAAGTTCTCCTCAGTCCTCTTTCTCTAGACCAAGTTTGGAGAAAACCCAGATCCCTTTCCCTATTCCCCTTAGCACGGATGAGATAGGTTAGCAGGTTCAAAATTGTATTCAAAACTCAGGGAAAGCACAAGAGAAATGACGAAAGAAAACATTCTCTTGGGTCGGCCCGGTGGCGCACTGCTACAGTGCGCCGCTTGGGAGCGTGGCGGCGCTCCCGCCAAGGGTTCAGATCCCACATACAGACCGGCCGCTCACTGGCTGAGCAAGGTGCGGGAGCAACACCGAGGTTTGCGATCCCGTTGCCAGTCCCGGTCCGGTACAGGCGCGACACTGAGGGTGGCGATCCGTTGCCGGTCAGTAAAAAAGACAAAAAGGGAAAGAAAAAAAAAAAAATTCTCCCCACCAAAAAAGAAATTATTTTTTAAGAACAGCTTTAAAATGTAAGCAAGAGAAACGTTAAACTGGAAAGAGCACATTTTCTCAACCAATAATCACATGCCCAATATACAGGCTATTGGGGGTTCCAGGCCCTGCCTGAGGCCCCCACCCACAAAACCCACCTTTATAGATGATAGGGCCATTCCTGTCTCTTCTCCTTTCTTCCTGCTTGTATTCCCCCTGATTCTCTATCAGTAGAAAGGCTAGGGTTGAAGCAGGAGAATTTTGACTGGTGAGAGCTGGTGACCACCCTCCTCCCTTGGGTGGCATGCTTAAGGTACCACCCAGAACATGGTTTAAGTCAGCAGGAAGAGGCCAGGTGAGACTAGTTCTGAGGGAAAGAGGGAGGCAGAGTCAGAAAATCCCTGGGCCCACTAATCCTCTTGATGCATAGAATGCCAGCCCCTCGTGTTCGCATGACTTTGTAAAAGCACTTTCACAGTAGTTTTTGGTTGGAGTCTCATAATAACTGCACGAGATGAGTAGAACTATTATTAAACATATTAGCCTGCTTGTATAGATTAAAACAAACAAAATCTCTGATGCTTAGAGAAGCTGTCCAGCTAGTAAGTAAGGGAGCCAACCCTCAAATCCTGGACTTGGAGTCCCAATCCAGCTTTTCCCCTTTTTCCACTCTACAACACTAAAGTGTGAATAGCACAGAGATGATGGTAGTGATCTCCCACCTTCTGTCCCTCCTCAGTGTTCTTTCACTCTCTGGGAAAGAGATGTTGGAATGTCACCTGTAGTTGATACTGCAGAAATTTGTGTGGTCCCGAAAGATCTCTCTGATCCCTGTGACTCTGGGAAAAGCTCCAAAGACCAACAGTGATTCTGACATAGGTGTGATCTGTCCCCTGTGACTCTGCAGCCGACAATCGGAAAAAGCAGAGAGTCCCGCACCGGGAGAGGAAGCGGCATGATTTCTCCTTGTTCAAGCTTTCTGACTCGGAGATGAGGGTGAAGGTCTCGCCACAGCTTCTGCTGGCCACACATCGCTTCATGGCCACAGGTAGGACTCTGCCTGCCCCAGTCTCCACCCCAGAGCAGTCAAAACAGAATCTCTAGGGTGGGACCAGGCACCAACCATCTTTAATACCTTCCAACCTAACTCCAATGTGCAGCCAGGCCTGAGAAGCTCTCTTCTAGGAAGGAGGTTGCCTGGGACAGGGGCACAGGGTGCACGTGCCATTGTTGAGCCCCAGGCTGATCTTCCAGAGGACGGAGTGAGTACAGCTCAACTCTCATCCACTCAAGGAAAGAAAGAGCCGCTGCTGCATTTCTTCCTTCCTTCCCTCGCTTCCTGGCTAGAGCCTGAGGCCAGCCCCTGTCCTATTAGAGTTGGGGTGCCCCAGAGTATTTGTTGGGAAGGGAAAGGCATTGTCCTACCCAGTGACAAGACCCTGGAATCCAGTACCCTACAGGGGCCATACAGGCCTGTGAGCCAAGAGTTCTTGAAATACAGAAGAGGATTGTGAATCTTAGGGTCTTTAGAAAGAAAAAAAGATGAGAGAATTTAAAGATAAACTACCTCTTGTAAAATTTGTCTTCGAACCCTCTGACTTTCTCATTCATGCCTAATTAATGGGCTGACCTGGTCCTACCCATCTCTAAGTTTATTTATTTATTTATTTATTTATTTATAAAGATGACCGGTAAGGGGATCTTAACCCTTGACTTGGTGTTGTCAGCACCACGCGCTCAGCCAGTGAGCAAACCGGCCATCCCTATATGGGATCCGAACCCGTGGCCTTGGTGTTATCAGCACCGCACTCTCCCAAGTGAGCCACGGGCCGGCCCTCTAAGTTTATTTTTAATTAATCCAACATATATTTATTGAGTATACAATGAGTGCTAGCACTCTTCCAGGTACTGAAGTAGAACATTTTAAGTTGGAGCTTCTTTAAAGCTGGGTTTTCAACATGTCATCTAGTTCTGAGTATACATTTCTTTTAACTACTGGCTGTCTGAATTCCTAGAGCAAATCAGCTGTATCTGTTTAATATAAAATAATAATATATATATATACATATATATATATATGCAATAATATCTGTTAATATGTAAATATGGTGCAGTGATGCTTCACATTATTGACAACTTTATTATTTAAATAATTGCCTGTCTCTGTTAACTTCGTATTTTATTTCATTCACCAAATATATATCGTACAAATAAACCAGATTAAATTCTCTGTATTTCATTCAATTACAGCAGCAAAGTCTTTGTTTCTCACATTACTTAGTTATCCATGCCCAACTTTAAATAAAATCAAAGAGAAAGTTAATAACAAAACTGACATTTCTGAAATGGTGACCTGTTTCTCCTGAGATGCCAGTGTACACATGTCCCCAGCAGGCATGGGGAAGGCCCTGAGACGCACACTCGGGTTTAGGATCCCCCACCCCAGAGGAATCTCGGAAGCCCTGCCAGCCTGGTGCTTCAGAGCATGGATGGGGGTGTTCCCAGAGGCAGCCCAGTTGTGCCCACTCTGACTCCTGCCAGCTGCCACTGCTGGCAGGACACAGGAGGGGCTGATTCCTCCCTGCCTCCCACTCTCCCTAGAAGTGGAGCCCTTTAAGTCTCTATACCTTTCGGAGAAGATCCTGCTCCGGCTCCTGAAACATCCCAACGTGATCCAGGAGCTGAAGTTCGATGAGAAGGACAAGAAGGCCCCAGAACACTACCTCTACCAGCGCAACCGCCCTGTGGACTACTTTGTGCTGCTTCTACAGGTGAGTAGAAAGTCAGGGGGCTTTTGGCTGGTTAGCTCAGCTGGTTAGAGCGCGGTCTTGTAACACCAAGGTCAATGGTCTGGATCCCCATACCAGCCAGCCGCCAGAAAAAAAGAGAGAAAGTCAGGGGACTTCTAAGGGCAAGACAAGGGCATCTCCACGATGAGGTGGAATGGCTATGTTCCCTCTGTGCCAGGTTTCCAGACTTGGTGGGCTGCCTCCGGAACAAGGCCGGTGGGTGGGCATTTCTGCTCAGCCGCCAGAAAAAAAGAGAGAAAGTCAGGGGACTTCTAAGGGCAAGACAAGGGCATCTCCACGATGAGGTGGAATGGCTATGTTCCCTCTATGCCAGGTTTCCAGACTTGGTGGGCTGCCTCCGGAACAAGGCCGGTGGGTGGGCATTTCTGCATGACCCACGGAAGGGACCTAGACTTGAGAGACTGGTGTCCTGGGAGTGGTGGGATCTTTGATGGCATTTCATCTGACCGCTCAGCAATGTATGGGGTGGCTGAGTATCTCCCCAGTAGAGGGGTCTGCTTCTGAGCTTCCAGAACTACTGCTCTACAGAACCGCTAATACGTCTTTGTGTCTGCTTGAAATGAAGCTGTCCTAAACTTTAAACAATTCTCGTTTAAACCCTTCCCGCTGTCAAGCGGAAATCTCACCATCTTTGACTGCCACAGTGGTCCTTGCACTGACTGCTCTCTGGAGGCCTGTGGAACGCATTCATTCTCTTTGCCACATTTCAGCCTTTGAAGTCTCTTGAATCTTCTAGCCCTGAAGAGGACCAGAAAGGGAAAAAATGAGCTAGTGAAAGTGCAGCATCTGTCCAGTACTCACATACGTAGGACCACCTTCTGCCCTGGGTGCCTGGTGGGCCCGTCCTAAGTAGGTTTCAGGAGTGGTTCCCGCTTGTCACACTGCTGGTGCCCTCTTCTGGCTCCACCGTTAGCTCTGTCACTGATTGCCTTTCTTTTCCCTCCAGAATCTTATGGACCCTAAATACAGTGATTGTCTTAAAATCTTCATTCAGCTCACATTAACTCAGCAATGACCTCTCTTTGTTACAGTCCACCTCCAGCCTCTCTCCTCTGACACTTTCATTTGTCTGACATATGTGCTTCAAATAGCGTCAATAAAATGACCTCTCTTCTCCAAAAATGGAGTCACATTCTTCACTGTTGGAAATTGAGAAGGGTCCTGTTACATTGTTTATATAACATAATGAACACATACAATCTGCTGACTTATGTTTAATATAAATTTAACAGTTTTCAAATAAGATGTGTAGGGAATAAAATGTAGTAGCAAGAATGTAGGTTCAAAAATTAGAAAGATTTGGCTTTAAAATTCCAATGTTGCCATTTCCTAACTAATCTTGACCGAGTTATTTAACCTCTTTGAACCCCAAAATTGATTTATCTGAAAACTGTGGATACAAATGGTATGAACCTGATGGGGTTGCGAGGCTGACTGAATGAGAATCCATGCAGTGCACACAACACAGTATCAGCTCCATAGATGCACACTGTACACTACACATAAGCTATCATGGTTACAGGTGATGAACTAAAGCTTCACACCAAATTAGATTTTTATCTCAGCCTGATTTAGAAACGTTCTGATCTCAGACTAAACCAATGGGGCAGTTTACAGGGCCCTGGGTTAGCTGGTGCTTGGACTGTGTCATGGAAGGGCCATTACACTATCTGAGGGGAGCTTGGTCATTCACGACCAGACGCTGCTTTATGAGCAATGAAGCAATGAATTTACTGCAAAGAGCAACCAAAGTTGGAGGTGCTATTTCTGAAATGTAAACCGGGACAGAATTAACACTCCCCTGGGGTAAGAGCACGAGTCCACTTGTCATCCAAGCAGAAGTGCTTAGGGTTCTAGCCGATAGTAGAACTGGAAGTGCTCATACATTCCCTTGGTACACTTCCTTCTTTCTCCAGGGTCAAGTGGAGGTGGAGGTTGGTAAGGAAGGTCTTCGCTTTGAGAATGGAGCTTTCACCTACTATGGTGTCCCAGCCATCATGACCACTGCTTGCTCAGGTATTCCAGTTTCCAAGCCATAGCTTTTGGGGGCAGCAATGGGATATTGTAGAAAAAGCACCCCGGTTCAAGTCTGAACTCCTCTTTGATTCCTGTTATGCACCCTGGACAAGCCATTTAACTTTCTTGGCTTTAGTTTACTCCTCTGGAAAATCACTTTTTGTTCAGAGTTTGTGCTTAAAAAATAAGTAAGAAAAAAATAAATTAGTAAAAGCATCACACTATCGAGTGTTAGGGATTGAGAGCGGTGTTTTTCAGTATGAAAAGAAAAGTTTATTTTGCTTTTTACACTTGTTCCCTACCCTTCTGTTTGAGTGCCCGGTTTTTACAGGGTTAATTGGTGCTGGGGGTGGAGTGTAAGAGGGAAGATTCCCATCAGAAAGTGTATTTTCTGAATTGCCTCTGAAACCCACTGCATCCTTCTGTCCTTAGATAATGACGTGCGGAAGGTTGGAAGTCTGGCTGGATCTTCCGTCTTTCGTATGTATCTCTCAAACCCCTTCCTCGTCCTCCCCATCGTAGTCCCACCTCAGCCCACTGTGGGGACTTGGACCAAGCACTCTGAGCCTGGGTTAGGGCTGAGACAAATGCTGGCAGCCTCTTTATAATGATCTGCCAGGAACACTGCTTCCGGCCAGGTACCCACAGACCATGGGGGCTTAGATTCTGTGTGCCTGGAATTCTGTGGCTTCTCCTCACGTGCAAGTGATGAATAGTAGCGGAGGCACCATTCATTGCCACTTGCCAGGGAATGCAGGCAGGTGATTTGTGTGCTTTGGTGGAGGCTCGGCCTTTCCTTCTCTGGAATGATAATTTACCCACTGGCTTTTACTTGAAAACTCTCATATGCTATTATTGTGTCTTGGGGTTTGTGCTCAGTAAGAAGTGGCTGCAAGACTTGGGGATGTAAGTCCCAGGCTGGTGCAATATGTTGCTTACCTGCTTGTGTTCCTTGTTCACCACGTCTCAGCTGGTGGAGAGGTGTCTGCTGGCCGGCTGTGCATGTAGATGGTGGAGGCTGGTGCAGGGCTGATGGCTAGTGTGCTCTGCCCCTTCTGTGCTGTGCTTTCTTGCTATTTCCTGTGTGGAGTTATTGTGCTCGTGTTTACAAGGCATTGCATTTATTGCGATATATGTGATCCAGAAAGAATTCTCTAGATTCTTTTTGATTCGTTGGTCTGAATTTTGCATTGCTTTGAGCTGTTTGTGTTTACAGTGGCTACTTTAATGCCAAATGGTGTGTTTCCTCTCATCGTAAAAAAAGATTTTACACAGTGCCTTATATTGGAATTTATCAGGGGGTCCCAGAGTTTGATATCGCATTCTCTGGAACATGGCCAGCTGGATACTATTTTAACACAAGAGAAACTAAAGAAATGACTTGTTCCAAATCACCCAGCAAGCTGGTGACTTACCTAGATGCATCCAGTGTCCTGACTAGTTCACATAGCACAGTGAAATACAGATTTCAGACCCATCATGTTCCAGAATGCAGTTTCTATGTGAAAATAATGGAACAATTTATAGTGTAATTTCACATCATAGCCCGGCAGATGGCTGAAATGAAGTACCTGCCCACCCTAAAGGGGTCACAGAACTTGAGCTGAAGGAGATCTATAAAAAACAAGCAAACCACAACAACGACAACAAAACCTGGTACCTTATTATACTTATTAAGCTGACAAATCTCAATCAAGACGCAGGAAGCATCAGTCCTCCATATAAGAACTCTGGATGGGTGGGGACTGCGGGATGGGGTAAACCTTAATTCTCTAAAGGAGATTTCCACCATCCATCATATTAGGGGCTGCTCTGCAATTCTAACATGTTATCTAGAAACGTTGGTCCTCTTCTGGCTCTTGCAGAAGACCAAAAATGGTGGGAACTCTGAGAAAAAAGAGTTAAGGTTCCCCAGGCCACCCAATTTAGATTACCTTCTTTCCTTAAAAAAAATTTTTTTAAGTAGGAGGATGTTATCTGATTTTCTCCTTTCCTTCCTACCTATCTCTAGTTCTTTCTATCAAAATCCTTTGGTTTTATCAGTGAGACAGGAATAAACTTGCAACACTGATCTCTCCTTTAAAACACCAGTTAACTAAAAGGAAGCATTAAACTATCTTTCCTCCCCACACTTCTGAGATCTTCATGAATCTTCAGGAGGAAAAAGAAATATTAAACAGTAGGGGTAAAGAGACATTTTTCTCCTTCCCCAAGCACTTGCTTCTTAGTGGGGTGCAGCGTGAGACAGCTGCGAAGGCTGGCCACACCCTGAGGTTGTCCCAGGTGGATGCTCATCCCAGGGTCACAGTAGGGGTAAAGAGACATTTTTCTCCTTCCCCAAGCACTTGCTTCTTAGTGGGGTGCAGCGTAAGACAGCTGCGAAGGCTGGCCACACCCTGAGGTTGTCCCAGGTGGATGCTCATCCCAGGGTCTCGTCACCCAGCATCTTTCACTGGCCAAAAACGTCAGCTTGTGGGTCGAGGGAGAGTTTAATACTAAGTCATAAGGCAGTAAACTCTTGTAGAGTCTTGGCCTAGCAAACTTCTCCTGCCCTTGAAGCTGGCCTGCAGCATTATAAGCCTTTGAGGGTGAGGAGTGAGATGATGGGTTTGCCAGCTCACTGGCCCTGTGACCTGTGCCTCAAAATTAAACTTGAGGTTACAAGGAAGTCTCTCTGGTTTTTCTGTGCAGGGTGAAGGGAACACAATCTGCACTGTCTGCATTATCTTGGTTCTTATAGCCAGGGAATCCAGGAAGACCATGGCGAGCTGGTACCGTGGAGGAACCTTGCCCAAACTCAGGGTAGCCTGAACAGGTGCACACAGGGGTGTGCAGACGGAGAGAGAACAAGTCTCTTATCTGTTTGGTGGTGTATACATTTAATTCTGCAGCCCAGGAAGAACTGATTCTTCTTGATACTAGTGCATCTTGCAACATTAAGGGCCCATCCAAGAATTCATGGACAGCTCATGACAGAGTAAATGATTATCAGATAGGTATAAAGCCCCCCTCTCCCACTTCCCTGCGTATGGTAGAGTGCTTCAAAAAGTTCACGGAAGGATGGAATTAAAAGATAATTCGAATCTTTTCCTGAACTTTTTGAAGTATCCTCATATGGGTAATTTCAGATAAAAGCATCTGGTATAGCAAATAAGACTGCAGAAGCTGCTTATTTCAGCACGCCATCACCTGCACACTGACTTCATTTAGCCCCATGAAAAGGATTCTGGGAATGATCGTAGAAGAGAGATAAAGACAGATTCCCATACAGAAGGACCACTTGATCAGGATCAAGTTGGGGAAAGGACTGGAAGGTTGCTACACACTTGACCCCACCCAAGGGACAACCAGCACCATTTCAAAGTCCCTGGCAAGAAAGAGAAGGAAAAGGGGATAGAAAGACAGGTGCGTTGGAACACTTGTACTTGCTAAGAAGGGACTGTGATTTAATTCGTCCAGTTGTTTTACATGAAAACTGCTGGAAATACTGCCCTTTCTTTGTTCTGGTCCTCTAGCAATGCAGTTTCTCACCAGCACTGTGACCACAGAGGGAGCTCCTAGGAGGCCAAGGCGGGATTCTGCTTCCTCAAGGATGCCCCTAGCAGGAGCACACACTTTGCTTTCAGGCCTCTGAATGCCTGTGCAGGCACCCTCCGCAGATGAGCAGGATACCTGCGGCAGCAGGGAGAGCCTGGTGGGAACACAGTACAGGGCTCCCAGCACATCTGCTGGCTCACAGCAGGTGCCACAGAGAGATGCTGCCCACATGCTCCCCACTGGGGCACTGCCTGTGCTTGTCATTGGCATCTCTGATCTGCTGTAAGATTATTGCACATCTTTTCAGAAGGCCTTCAGCAAAGTCCATTTTATTTTCTCATCTTTCTAGAGAGTGACTTTGTAAGAGAATGTGATTCCCATGTTTTCAGAGGCAAGATTCCTTTTCGCAGAGAAATGTGATGATGTGAATATAAAGGAACAGACTGTCTCACCCACTTTGCTCTTTGTCTCTCTCCTTTTGTGTTTATCTTCCCCTCTGCAACTCACAAATCCTTGGCCCCTGACTCTTTAGTGCCTGTCTCTGTGTCTCGTAACTTCGCCTTCAGCAGAGGGGACTCTCTGGCAGGCTCCCCAGGTAAACATGCATGGGTGTCTCTGGTCTCCATAGATCCAATGGGGTTTGCAAGAGGCCCTTGGTCTCTGTCACTGTCCTGCATGAGAACTAGTCTCTCCCAACAGGTATTCCCATGGCTAAGATGTAGCACGTTGCACAAATAACAGTTATTTGCCCACACAGCCTAGGTATTGCTGGTTCAATGGAGTCATTTGCAAAATTACCTCCCAGGGATGTATCTATGTGTGTACATGGAAAAATGGTGGGGGTGAAGGATAGTGTGAGTTTTTCCTCATTCATCTGCCTGCAGAATGGAGGGGTGAGGAGTATAGCAGGAGAAAAATGGAAAGAAATAATGGAATACTATGCTCTATTCCTCCCTATTTTTCTTCCACCTTTCCTTCTATGTCCTCATCTTCCTAGTCATGATCGTATTTTCTCTGGCTCTGTTCATGGAAAGAATGCTATACGTAAAAACTTCAGAACAACTTTTCATTAGGTTTAACCTCTCTCATTAACTAATAAAAGTTACTGGGTTTCTTTTTAATCAGCTAGAGCAGCTCCTCAGTGTTACACAGTAATACTCAGAAATAAATCTGAATGATCAATTAAATGTTTATATTGTTTTCATCTCTAGAGGTTGATCTCTTAGGCTCACAGAGCACGTAATCACCAAACCAGGAATTTATCTGTTAAATTGCCCTGCAGTTAGAACACAGTCCAATGTCCCATACCCTCTCCATCTGTGTCCCTTATCTCAGTGCTGGGGTGATGATTCTAAGGCCCCACCATATCCTCTGTCATCAAGAATCCAGTTATGTTTCTATGTCTGTATCGGAGACCCTCAACATTCAAAACTGCTATGTCCTAAGGCCTCAAACCCCTAGATTTGCAACGTCAGAAATATTTATGTTGATTTCTGTTTTCTCCCAAATCACATTTTTCCATCAAAAACCATCTGGTTCCCATGTTTATCTGTATGAGACAAGTTAAACACCTTCTCAAATTTCTCTAAAGTTTTCTCTCTCACTTGATGGTGATTTTCCACTAAGAAATAAAGTTTTTCTTGCTTTGTGAGAGCTCATGCCTTCATGGTGACTACAGGAGAGGACAGTTGATGTGAGAAGCCAATCTGGTGTGCTCGCCAGCTACATGGTCCATTCCTGCATGCCAGCAAAATTAAAATTACCACAACATGGGCCTTCAGGATCCTTCACATGCAGTGAATCTTGGTGAATGCCAAGAGTGTGCTATGAAACAGAAGAAGCGCATTTTAAAAAGATTTTCAGCCAAACAGATCAAAGCAAGGGTATATTTTCCTGTTTAATTAACAAGCATTCAGTTAACCAATGACCTTGTTAATTGTAAC